AATGAGAAAGAAAAAAAATAGAACTAAAAATCAGAAACTCAAATAGTAGTGTGGGACCGAAATACTTGTAAAGCTGTGCTGCCTTCCTTATTTGTGCCCAGAACGTGATACACGGAAACCGATGATTTCAACCACTGTCTATCTCAGAGTGGACTTCTGACTGTGATCCCTCTGACTCATACAGTTCTGAAGAAGACTCTGCCATTGATATCTCTCTCTCCCTCCCTCCATCCTTCCCTTCCTCCTTCCCTCTCTCTCCTACTCCCTTCCCCTCCCCTCCCCTCCCCTCCCTTCTTCTCCTCTACTCTCTCCTTTCTCCACTTTCTTCTGTGTGCCCACCTGGGAAATAAAGAGGTTATGGCAGGTACTAAGGGGAATCATTTTAGATCTTTGCTGATGCCATGTGCTTAGTTCATTTTGGGTTCAGAAGATTAGAATATTAATCTGCTAGGCCTACCATAACAAAATGACACAAAATACATTGCTTAAATCATAGAAAATGTCCCCACTGTCTGGGAAGCTGAACGTCCAAGATGAAAGTGTTGGTAAAGTTGGTTTCTTCTGAGGCTTTTCACCTTGGTTGCACATGGCCAACTTCTGAGTGTCCTCACATGGCTTTTCTGTGTCCCAGCTCATTCTTGGTATCTCTCCTCTTATAAGGACACTAACCATACTGGATTAAGGTCCCACCCTTATGACTTCATTGAACCTTAACTCTTCAGGGCCCTATCTCCAGAAATAGTCACATTGGGGGTTAGGAATATACACTCCTCCATAAGAGAGAGTAACCCATATATGACTGGCATGTGTTTCTTTGGTTGATGGGGCAGGATTCTGGGAATTCATCTCTGTAATCAACACACCGTTCAAATCTATCTGCATGGCCTCTTCTGGCAGCAGCCTGCCATCCTTCTCCATGATTGCCCATCCTTTTTGGCCCAAATACTCCTAACATCCACATACCTCCATGTTCTCACTTGTTGCAATTTTTCTCACTCTTTGTCAAGGTCAAAGGCTAGAACAAATTTGAGACATCTTTGAAGTCTAGGAACCCTAATAGCTATATATTATTATCTTAACTGCAGTTTTCAAAACTGAGGTTCTGATTGGAACTTTGGCTCTGCCGGTAAGTACCTCCTGTGTGTCCTCTCCGGATGGAACTGCACTGGCCTTTCAGGTATCATCTTTGTTAAATGTCTCAACTTTCACAAGATTATTTAATCTTACCCCAATTCATTCCCAGTTCTAGTCAGGGACTGAAACCTTGTGAACCTGGGATGTTGCTCAAAAGCCCAACTTAAAAAAGAAAAAAAAGCTAAATAAGCAAAACCTCAATGCTATGGAGTAGTGCCTTGAAGGACATGCAGCTCAAGTGTTCGTTTCCTTTAGATAAGCTCTTCTCCAAAGATGGAGGCATCAGTCTGTGTCTGTCAGTCCGAGATTTATGATAGCCAGTTTACTTCTAAGAAAAACCATCAACTGGCCAGTGATTTTTCCTAACTTATATTACCCATGGGGCAATGTTGTCCTGTTTTGTAACTTGACGTGCTTTCCGAAGAAAGAAGAGGAACCTGTGTGTCTTAATGGGCTAGCCTGTCAGTACATAGGCAGTGTCCATGCCAGTTAGAGAGTGGATCAAGAGCCCCACTCTGTGGTATAGGGAGAAACTGATGGTTGAAATATAGGTTAAGGTGAGAGACGACTCTAAATTGATACAGAATTTAGCATTTAAACTGAATGTATAACTATACATCTGTTGATCAATGTAGGACCAACACTTTTGTGGGGTTTTGGTTTGCTGATGGTATTGCACTTTGTCTAAGACAAATCATACTCATAAAGTCACAGTGGATTTGCGACTGTTTCCAGGTTTGTTTTCATGAGAGGAGAACACAGAGCACTGCCTGTGAGCAAAGTCCTGTATTCAGTCATTTGCTCTCCTGTCCCTGGGCCTCCGGCACCATTTCCATCAGCAGTTTGGATCTGGGATTTTCAGATTATCCACTTTACTGTGTTACATGCATGTAACTCATTAATTTTTATAAATGCAAATGTCCCTAGTGTGCCCTGCCTCCCAGCATTTGCTCCTTTGTGTCACCCCTTCCCCACACTGCAGACAGGCCTGTGAATTTCTTCAGACAGTAGAATGGGAGGACATGGGCTTGCACTCCCATGGTTATGTTATAGGAGCTGTCTATAGCACCAGCTTTAGAGCATCAGTTCTCGTTCGAGAAAAATGATAGGTTTTCATTCTATTTTAATAAATTTTGCATGCTTGCCCTTTAAAAAAAGGTGGGAGAGGGGCTGGAGAGATGGCTCAGTGGTTAAGAGCACTGGTTGTTCTTGCAGAAGACCTGGGTTCGAATCACTGCACCCACATGGCAGCTAACAGTTGTCTGTAACTCCAGTCTCAGGGGATCCAATAGCTTCTTCTGACCTCCTTGGGCTTTTCACAACACGGGTGCACTTACCTACATTCAGGCAATACATACATACACATAAAATAAAAATAATAATTTTTTAATTAAAAAAAAAAGGTGGGAGAACATTGATTCCAGTTGGAGAGACAGGCTATTCTGATGCTGGGTAGGGGTATTGGTAAGTATCAGGAACTAAGGGACATGCCAAGAGCTAGAGTGAGGTCCATGGTGAAGCAAGACTGTCCTGAGTCAAGTCTAGAGAGGTAGCCTTACCTTTAAGGGCTGAATCACACATGCTAAAGATGATGGATTTGGGGCTGGAGAGATGGCTCAGCAGTTAAGAGTGCTGACTGCTCTTCCAGAGGACCCAACACCCACATAGTGGCTAACAATCATCTGTAACTCCAGTTCCAGGGAACCTGATGCCCGCTTCTGGCCTCCATGGGCATTGCATGCACAGGTGCACTTACATGCAGGCACGACGCTTATACATATAACATTTAAAAATTTTTAAAAGATGGATTTTTTTCCAAGTGATATTGGGAAACACCTGTTTGGTGTGAGCTGCTGAGTCAGTTAGGCTTGTATTCTTGTGGGACAACAAAATGAAATGCTAAGTTGATATTTAGACATAAATTTAGGAATAAAAAGTTTTCTGAATGAGAAGACTTTCAAATTTTGGAGTCAGTGCCAAACTGAAGGTTTTCAAACCACAGTAAAACACCCAGAAAGAGCATGTAGAGAGAAGGTTGACAGCTGAATGCCTGGGCGCTCTGTGTCAATACTGAAGTGGGGAGGAGGACTTGTCAGAAGACAGCGGCTAGTGGTAGACAGGGAGATAGATGTACTCTCAGATTTCAAGAGTACTGAAGGCCATTGAAAGGTTAAACTTCAAGAACACATTCCTGTTAGGGAAGGCGCAGTCTTGAGTGTAATGAGCTTGCTTTCATATCTGTTTACTGATTTATAGTTTTAATTATCAAATCATATAAATTATATGTTTCATAAAAGTTTATTTAGATGAATGTACATGTGCACCTGGTTCTTGTGTAGGAATTACTAAAGACAACTAGGCAAGCTTTATATGCATGTAGGCTTTAAGTGGTTTTCCATTGGGATGAAATTTTACTGATGTGTTTTTATTGTTTATTTCATTTTTTAAAGATTGTGATAAAACACACATACCCTAACGTTTACCATTTTGATCATTATAAGTATGCAGTTTAGTTGCACTGAAGGCCTTTGCATGAGTGCCTCTACTTTAAAACGTTTTTTGTCTTCTCTAACTAAAGCTCTGCACCAATTAGATCCACTTCCCAGCCCCCTCCTCATAACCCTGGGCAGCATTGTTCTGCATTATGTCTTCATGAATTGAACTCCTGTGATGAGTGGAGTCATGTAGTATTGGATCTTCTACGATTGGTTTATTTCATTCAGTACAGTGTCCTCATCCATGCTGTGTGTGTCAGAATTCCCATCTATTTCTGAGTGGAACGATACACCATCATATGGATAAGTCACATTAGTTTATCCACTCATCCATTTGAACTCTGCTTTCAGTTCCCTTAGGTATGCGGCATATATTCAGATCATATGCTAATTCTCTTAATTATTTTAGAAATACGGGTTACCATGATACTGTATTATTTTCCATAGTATCTTCCCGTTTGTCATCCCCATCAAGTGTCAATGGCTTCTAACCTCCACACATCCAATACTTACTCTCTTCCATGTCTGATGTGTCTTGTTCTATTCGCTTGATAGCAGTCATCCTAATGAATATGAAATGGTTGAAGATTTGATTTGTGTTTCCCTAGCTAATAATGCTGAGCATCTTTTCATGCCTTTGGGACTGTTACATCTTTAGAGAAATGTTGCTTCTAAAGGCACTAATTTTAGATTTTATTCTGACAACACATCTTGACATAGTTGGGTGTTTTTGTTTTTTGAAATATTGCCAGTTCTTGGATCTTCTACTTTTCTTGAGCAAATTGCTGGATTTTGATTTTGAATCTAACATCTATGCAGAATGCATAAAGGGAAAAAATACCAAATCATCTTTCCTTTCTGGTCATTAAGAGTTATTGAATATAGTTTTGGGTTTTTTGAGGGGGAGGGGTCTTTTTGAGACAGGGTCTCCCTGTAGCCCCAGCTGGTCCTGGAACTCACTATGTAGACCAGGCTGGCCTTGAACTCACAGAGATCCGCCTGCCTCTGCCTCCTGAGTGCTGGGATTAAAGGCATGCACACCACGCCTGGCCATACTATATTTTAAGATTTTAAAAATTTTATTCTTATTTTATAGCCAGGTGTGGTGGTACACACCTTTAAGCCCAGCACTTGGGAGGCAGAGGCAGGTAGCTCTGTGAGTTTAAGGCTAGCCTGGTCTACATAGTGAGTTCCTGGCCAACTGGGGCTATAGGAAGACCCTGTCTCAAAAAGACCAAAAATATTTTTAAACATTTTGTTATGCGTATATGTGTGTAAGTGCACCAGGGTCGTGCAGTGCCCATGGAGGACAGAAGAGGGCATCAGATTCCCTGGAACTGGAGTTACAGATGATTCTGTTTTCTTTAACAGTTGTTTCGAGAAGTACTGATAATGAAGATCTTGAACCATCCTAATATAGGTATGCAATTTATATATATAACTTATATATTATGTATATTATGTTATAATTATATAATAATTTTATATATAATAAATGATAAGACATTTCCCTTAATTTGAGGACATTTGAACACATACAATTTTATGGATGTTTTATATAAATAGAAGACAAGTGAAAATTTGGGGAAAGTGATACTTTGAAGGTTATACTGAAGGTGACAAGTAACTATTTTTCTACTACTTTGGTAGTTTGGGGGCACCACACACACAATTGATACATATTAGAGTTAATGCATACAAATTTGCTACTTATAGAAAAGAGTTACATATATTTTACTAATAGTCATTTGAGTTTGATTGTATAAACAAAATAACTTCGAATTTTGAAGAAAGTGTCAGTTTCAATTTTTACCAAATTTGTTTTAGTAAGTTTTGATTTCCCCCATTTTTATAAATAAACTTACTGTTCATATTATTTTTGTATAAAAAAATCTCTTGATCCTAAGTAGAAAAAAAAATCATTTTTAAAAAAAAAATCTTAAACCTATGTTTTTTGCACATTTGAAGATTTTATCTGTATCTAGCCATTGATGTGGACATCTGCAGTGAATATTTGCCACTGTCTAAGTCTAAACCAGGTTTTTACTAGAAATTTATAATATCACATAAACAGAAGTTTTATTTTTATACCACACATTAGCATTTTATGAAACATCTTTATAGCAGTCTTTAGTTTTCATTAAAATTCTGCTTTTCTGATTTTAAGGTTTCCTTTTTATTTTCTTATTCTAACTACAAAGGCTATTTTTTTTATCTCATAAACTGTTTTAACTCACAAATTTGGTTCCAAATGACTGAGAAGTTGGTAAGTAGTTTCCTTCCATAGGAATAGTAACTGGAGAGACTTTTTGATTTTGACTTTATAATTAATCATGTCAGCAAGCACTCCAGTTTTCCACTGGTTTACTGTTACTAAGATTTACTGAAAGCTCACCATATCATGCGAACAGTTGTAGACTTAAGTTTCTTCTCTCTTCAGTGAAACTATTTGAAGTCATTGAAACAGAGAAGACACTCTATTTGGTCATGGAGTACGCGAGTGGGGGTAAGGACAAGTGGGCCTGGGAGTCCTCTGTGATGGGACCTGTCATTGCTGCCTGACATTTCCTTGTGACTTTTATGTCTTCAGTATTAGTCTATAGCTTTATTAAAACACCCTTTGGTTATATCTTAACAAAAATTCAATGTTTGCTATCAAGACCTTTTGAGTCTAATTACAAGTAAAGTTTTTGACTTATTTAAAAATTACTTAGGGACTTTTTTAAACTCCAGATTTGTTTTGTCACTTTCGAATGTTTTAATTTGCTTCTTTTAATATTAAAATAATATAGTTGATTTGGAACTCTTGTGTATCAAAAGGAAATCCCAAATGCAGAATGTACTTTAAAATATCCATAGTAAAAGCATGTTCAAGGTCAGATATTTAAGTGATTCTTCGTATATGACAGATCTTTAATATATATACATTGCCAAGATAATCCATAAATGTTTTAATTTAAGCAACTATTGATTTGATCTGTACATTTCATAAGTCAAGACTGAGTTGACAGGGAGATAAGATACAATGTATATTTTGACTAAGACTGATTTTTTTTAATGCTGAATGTATAATTGTCACTTTTTTCTCTTAAATGGATTCTTGGCTCAAAATTATTGTTCTATTGGGACTTTTTAGAAAGATATTTAAATTGTATAGAGTTAAATCATTTAAAGAGTAAAAAGAAAAATTCTTAAGACGCATATACTTAAGAGGCATTCAAAAAATACAGAGAATTTGCCGGGCGTGGTAGTGCACGCCTTTAATCCCAGCACTCAGGAGGCAGAGGCAGGCAGATCCTTGTGAGTTCAAGGCCAGCCTGGTCTACATAGTGAGTTCGGGTCAGCTGGGACTACAGGGAGACACTGTCTCAAAAAGACAGAAAAAAAAAACCAAAAAAAACAGAATTTAAGCAATTGAAAAATGAAAGGAAACAAATTATTCAACTGATTTATTAACTTTTTACTAATCAGTAGAAAAAATTGGTGCTGAACTTAGCACTGAGCCTTTCATTTAAGAAAAGTTACAGGTTTTCGTGGCCAGGCAGATTTATGTGAAGCAGAATGAAGGATTTGTTTCATCTACAGCTCTGAGTTACATATTGTATACGGCTTCTCAGCTTTCTAAACGTTTTATTTTAAATACTGAACAAATATAATTGCTTTGTAAGTTGTTTATGCAGATTAAATATTTTAGTAAATTTGTTTTCTCCAAATTATTTTTCCACCCTGAAAAGATTTCAGTGTAGGTTTTTTGTTTTGTTTCTTCATTCGTTTTTGTGGTGCTAAGGATTGAACCCAGGGCCTGTGCTTGCTGGACAAGGACTCTACCACAGAGCTGCATTCACAGCCCATCGATGTAGGTTCTTTGAGTGGAAAACCAAGACTTTTTTGTCTATTACTACATGATTTAAACTTGTAAATAGCCATATGAACTTGCTTAAAATGTAGATCTGTAATAAAACCTGTAAATATCACATAATTAGCTATTTTTAAATCCTTTAGTTAAATTTCCAAACAAATCTGATCTGTCAGGATGGGAGCCCTGAATGGTCCTTTTAGTTCAGTTAAGCTCGTCTATATTTGTTTGTTTTGTTTCCCCCCCTTGCAGTGAACTCTAAAGTACAGAGAAAGTGTTAGGTATGCTTTGACAGAAGAAACGGGGCCACTAAGAACCAGTGGGTAGCTTTTGTGAAGGTCCACACAGGGCTATGCATATGTGAGCTGATTCCAGTGTTGATGCCAAGTACAGTCAACTCTGGTAGTGCTGAGGAAGGAAAGGTGTCGGGGCTGGAGAAGCAGTGGAAGAGCAGTAAGGGGTAGAGAGATGGGCCCCGATCTGTGTACAGAGAAGAAACAAACAGCAAAACAAAAGAAAAACCAGCCCAAACTGGCTGGTCCTTCACTCCACTCTAGTTCTGGAGGACGGATAGTTTTCTTTGGGTCTCACAAAGCATTGATTCTGTTAGCAAAACAATGTGGTTCTGTGGAATGCATCTAGAACCTTTTTCTTACCCCTATAATCTATGAATGGCAAGGCAAGTCTGGGAAGTAAAACACTGAAATTTTCCTCTGAAGTCTTAAAGCCAGTTTAAAATTGACTGTGATACACACAGTAGAAATTTCAAGCGAACAGACAGTTGCCCCTTTGCCAGGTGTCAGGCAGTGGGTTCTGGTTCACTTCCGATGGGGCAAGAATCTTCAGTGACTAGAAAGCCAAAGAATTCCTTATGGCTTTGAATCATGTTTAATTTAAAAATCCCTGTGAAAGGTAGGTGTCAGAGCTAGACTAGTATGGTATTCACTGCTTTCTTTGTTCTCACACAGTACTTATTAACTGCTAAGAGCAATTGTCTGGGTGCTGAGAACATGTGAGGTAGAGTTAGCCTTCAAGATTACATTGTAGTTAGTGAAGCAAAGAGTTCACAAACCCTGTGATAAGTGAAGGGCTGGGTCATGCAAATACATGGGCCTTGAGCATCCTAGGCAAACTCTTAAGAGGAGAGCCAGTGCTTGAACTCTTATGTGTATCTTTCCCAGCCTAAACTCATGTGCCTAGAGTTAATACTAAGATGGGTTGACTGGAATTAATATATACCTAAATGAACCTCCCTGATGAGCCAACTAGAGCATCCATTCATGTCTCTGTTCTCATCCCATTCATCATTTCACTCTACTCCATAAAATGCACTGTTCAGCACCATAGATTTGTTAGTTTCATCTGACATACATCCATTGCATATTTAATTTTTAATATTTTGCTTCTATTGTAGAGTTAATATTGCATATACATAAGTAATATACCTATGTACTTAAGTATAAGTATCATTTATTGAGTGCTTACTATATGCCAGTCACTGTGCCCAACACATGCATTGCTTCATGCAGTCCTCACAGCAGCCTTGTGAGTAGACTGGAGGCAGAAACAGAGTCTTAATGGGGTTAAAAAGTCCTTCTGCTGTCTCCTAGTAGGAATACACCAAGATTCATGCCAAAACTGCTTCGGTTCTAAAGCCTGAGCTTTGAACTACTTTGCTATACTGTATAAGAGCTTTAAAATCATTCTTTGAGCTTTTAGTCTGCATGTATATCTATACGATACAAACTATAAGAACACAGAAAATAAATTTCTCTCTTACATTGAGGTAATATTTTAAGATTATAACTGAAGACTAATTTTTTAAACTATTACTGACTAGAGAAAAAATTTGAAACTTATGTATGGATCCAATAGAAAATTTCAATACCATCTAGTTATTTTTCTTCACTTCAGCACATAATTATTGCCCACTTTGTGCTCTTGTGGAGGTGAGGGTACAGTCAAGCACAGGCATGATGTCATGATGTTGTGTAGTTGGCAGTTCATTTGGGGGAGCAGAGCTGTGTGCAAGGGTGATTCAGTTCTGTGTCATTTATGGTTAACTGCCAGAATATGCAAAGACAGCAAGGAGATGCAGATCAGAGTGTAGTAAAGAAGTCAGTGCAATGGAAGTGAGACAGCGTCCAGCCAAGACCATGTGTCTATAGAACTGAAAAGAGAGCCAGTGGATGACTATTGTGTTTGTAACGGAGGAGCCAGAGCCGAACGTGGCTCAGACTGCCCTTTATTAGGACGGGGATAGAGTCGACTATATTTTTTATGTAATGCATTAAAGTAGAGAACAAGCTTCTTGGTTATTTTTATGACTTATTTTTTAGGAGTTTTGCTAAATCATAAGTTGCTGCAGATTCTCAATTCTACATGTAATTTTTCCTATTTTTTTCTGTTCGTGTGTTAAGTTTGTGATTTATATAAACATAGCAGAAAATTGTGGGCCAAGGGTTTCTTGAAAAGCAAGGCAAAAACTTGACGTTGCATATATTGTTAACCAAAGTCAATGTCTCTTTTACTACCTGCTCTGCCTTTCTGATTCAGGTGAAGTATTTGATTACTTAGTTGCCCACGGAAGAATGAAAGAGAAAGAGGCCCGTGCAAAATTTAGGCAGGTATGGAAAGTGGTTTTCAACTCTGTTTTGCTGATATTTTTAGTGATGTGCAATGGACAGTGTCGCAGTGACCGTGAGAGTACGTGACCCTTTGAAATGAACAATTCCTCCTTCCTTTCACTTTCTAAGAATGGAAAACTCCTGGGAAAGAAACTGATTTTTTTCCTGAATTTCATTTTATAATAGTTTAAGATGCTTATTGTTAGATGTCCATAAAGAGTAAGTTTTATAAGTTAGACTCTCTTTAATTCTGAGTCTTAGAAACTCAGACCAGACTGAGAGAAGAAATATTTAACCCTTTGATGCCTGTGTCCAGCCATTGCTATCAGGCGTTAGAGATTTATGTATGCATTGCATATGTATACTGGTTAAAGAAGTTGATATATTCTTTTCCTTTATAGTTAAATACATATTGATATTAAAACTCATTTCAGACCTAAAGAATACAGTTGGTTTTATTTAGCCTCACAGGCAAGGAGGACTGGTAAGATGTTCACATTTCCAGTTTAACTTCGACGTGACTTACTATAGGATGACAAAATAAGAAAACGTCATTTAAATCCATCTAGAATTTCACTCTGAATTTTTGCAACTCAAGTAATTAAGCATGCTTTGTAAATTACTTTAGAGATGATTAGTAAATTGTGAATTATCCATAAATTGTACTAGTCAGGCTTCAGCAGACAGTATGTTATATCGTAGACTTTCCTTCTGTGTGTTAAGAGTTTTCATCTTAAAGTAGTTCAGCACCTCTTCTGTAAGCATTACACTGATTGTGAGATTAGAAAGATTCTGTGCTTGCTCAGTTTGGGAAACTTGGAATGCTTGCATAAGAGCTTCCTCTAAGATAGTTTTCCATGTATCTTAACATATTAAACAATCAGAGAAACAGAAAACCTGTTTGACTTTCCTTTACCTGACATTCTCCAAGTTGAATGTATAGTAACTTTGTTTTATAAAGTGTCTATTATTCAGATAGATTCCCATAGTTACTTATATTGAAAAATAGTGGCTGGGGTCCTGATGGCTCAGGCAGTAAAGACATGTGCCACCAAGCCTGATGATCTGAGTTGAGTCCTCAGGACCCACATAGTGGAAAAAGGGCACCGACTCCTGCAGGTTGTCTTTTGACCTCCACATCTCTCTCTCTCTCTCTCTCTCTCTCTCTCTCTCTCTCTCTCTCTCTCTCTCTCTCACACACACACACACACGCACGCACGCACGCACGCACGCACACACACACACACACACACACGCACGCACGCACACACACACAGAGATTAGATAGATATAGATACATACATGCACAGCAAGTGTAGAACAGTTCATTTTCAAGACCCCTTCCAGCTTCAGGGAGACATTACTCACTTCTCAACAAACTTTGCTGGCCTGCCCTTCAAAAAACTAAATAAATTAATTAAAACAGTGGATGTAAAAACAACTGGTAATAAGAAAAACAACATTAAGAAACTATGTTGTGTTCAGCACTTTGCTGTTAAGCTCTTTGCTATCATGGGATGCAAATCCTACCTACTGTCAGGTAAAACACTACAGGTATCCCTTTAAATGTCATTTCTCCTCCTTATCAATCACAGTAGTTTTAGTAACAGATGATCAAAAAAATTCCTGGTGTCATGACATGCTCCCTTTGAGATCTTTATGTACACTTTAAAGATGATCTGCCTGCCTGGAGTGCTGGGCTTAAAGGCCTGTGCCACCACACCTGGAAAATTAACACTGTGTTTAAAAGTAGAAAAATAGAGGATGTTTTCTTTGTAATTATTCATGTATTATACATATTAAATGGATTCAATATCTATATGTGTTCCCCCCAAGCTAGAAAATTTATTTTTGAGGAGCTTATTTTTCTTTGTGGACTTAATTTAGACTAGTTAATAAATACTAAAAAATAAATAAATGGTTAATAAATAATAAATTTAAAAGAGTTAATAACTACACATTCACTTACGTTTGTGACTTTTATTTTGACAGTGAAAGAATGCAGCACTACATTAGCAGGACATGCAGATTCATGCCCTCCAGCTACTATTTGATATACCAAAGACAAGACAGTTTGAGTCCATTTTTGCCCCCATCGTTTGTACATTGCCTCTGTGTTTCATAAACTAGGAGGGTCTGAAAAAAAATCTTAGTGTTGATTCAAAGGTCAAGGCTACTGCTTAAAGAATAGGAATCCCTGACTCACTTAAGTGACTGCAAAGTGGTGCCAACAACTGCACTTTAACAGAAAACACTGACATGTGGGGACTTAGGGCCAGTGCAGGCCTGATCGCAAACCTTGTTCTGAGGGTCCTTAATGGAGGATCATAGAGAAGTTCCTGTGTCTTGTTCATGGAGGTGCAGAGTGCTTTTATCTGGCAGAGTCTGCATGGGTCAATGTGAGGAAACACAGGCTTAAGGGTGGGGGTTCACATGATAAGTCAGAAACCAAAACTTGGATGACAAACATTGTCCCTTGCTAGTGGGTAACAAGGCTAGTGTGTGGCCCTGTGTACTGTCCTGTCTGGATGCTAGCTCAGAGGTCTCCTCTGTGGAAGGACGCATATTTATGCGGGGCATTCTCTAACAATCTTTCCTTTGTGAAAGCTTTGAGGCTTAGGAGCATTTTGCGTCCAGGAATATGTATAAACTGCCTTCATAGGGCTCATCCTGGCAGATGTGAAATGCATGGCCTCTCATCACATTTGGTAGCTTCATCGTCTCTAGCACATCATCACTGTATCATACAAGTGTGTGACTTGTAAAGGGTAGTATCATCAGCAAGTTTCTGTCATCCATGATACACAAGTAGCCTGGTTTTCTAAACACTGTAGCTTGTGTAGCATATCCAGTAAAGTATGCGTGCACGTGCATCTCGTGACTGACAGAATTTAGTGAAAGTCATGTTAGAGTTTTGTAGCACATTGCTCAGAAAGTGTAGAGACATTGGTTGTTATGTCCTGCTGTGTGTGGGGACTCATACTTCGGGATGGTCAGTAGTACTCAGTACCTGCCCAGGTACGTCTAGTAGTTCTGCAGAACTTGCTCAGTATGGAGTTCAAGGACCTTTGCCGAGCTGTCAAGCTGGACTCACTCTCTCACTGCTTTCCATCACCTTTATGAGCACATTGTGCTCCTCATTGTTCATGCATCCTATCACTTTACTCTCCCTCCCCAAATCTCAGTTGTTCCTGTCCTTCAAGGATGGCTTGATCACATGGTGCTCATCCAGGAAGCATTTCCAGTGGAGATCATTCTTCTTCATGATTGCCTCCCTTTTCTACCTCTGCTTCTCTGAGTCTGCCCTGCAGTTACCCGTGTGCTGTGTGCTCTCCCGTAGACAGACAGTAAACTCCGTAGGGCAGCGCCTGTGGGACGCTCATTTCTGTGCTCCCCTAGCAGTAAGCACATTTTCTTGCACATAGCAGGTACTCAATAAACTGACTTAAATCAAATGGATTTAGTTGCATTATATACTCATCATGTGTTGATGTTTTTAATCCATGCTTTTCTTTGAACCATTTTAGCATACATTAGACTGATAACTGATAGGGAAATGCCGCTTTCATGCCACTTTGAGTTTCTTCCTCACTCCTGCCCCTCTCAACACAGCCATTCCCCCCTTAGGCTCCAGAAGCCTTGCTCATCTCTGTGTGTGACCAGCCAACATTCAGCGTTTACAGTTAACCGACTCCACAGACTTGAATATTCTGCTATGCTTAAAATAGTCATCCTTTTAGGCATCAGATACAATTTCACATACAAAATAGCTCTTTTATCAATTGCTGCCAGACTCTCCATTTCTTTATTTTATAAAATTTAAAAATACCACGTGTTTATTATCTATTTCTTATTTATATTTTTGGCCTGGTTGAGTTCTTCTTTGTTTGACCCTTGTCTTCAGAGTCCCGTGCACTGGTTAGAAGTCATGGCTGTGTGCAAAATGTACTCATGGTGTACATTAGTTTGCTGAATTAGGGACAAGCGTAATATTAAATTTCATTTTCCCCTCTTTGACTATTTGGGTTCTGTTTAGGATTCAGTTTTTCTTATTTCTTTATATTTGAACAGATAAATATGAAACATCATTAAATACTTATCCAGTTAGCTCTTAATAAATTAAAGGAATATGCCTTGACCAAATTTGATGTAATTTCCAAAATAGAGTTTTCTTTAACTCTAGCCAGCTTATCTCAAAATACTAATTTATGTGTGCCAAAACACACCTTTCAACATTGTAATAAGCCTTCTGTGTAAAACTATAAATTGTATAATTTGATTCTTGTAAACAAAGAAATGTAATGACCAATAGAAAAATCTTCATGGACCTTGACCAAAAAGAAAGAAAGAAGTTATAGTATATTTTCCCGAGAGAATAATTACTTCACACATTTAAGAACAAAAGTTTCATCTCTTTTAGTGTGATTTTCTGAACTAAAGGAATTGTGAAATTACTATTATTTTGACATCTATTAGCAATTTATCTAAATTGGAAATGATCATTGTAAAAATCAAATGTTTTGCCATAGAATAATTTTGATTTATCCGAACATTTATTTCAGATTGTATCTGCTGTACAGTATTGTCATCAAAAATGCATTGTTCACCGAGATCTAAAGGTAAACTGCTAATTTTAAAATAAAACATATTAATTATTAAAATATTTAATAATATGGGTGCTGGGGAGATGGCTCAGTGGTAAGAGCACTTGCTGAGCAAGCTTGAGGATCTAAGTTTGTATTCCCAGCACCCATGTACTAAACAGCCTGGCATGGCTCTGCAGGCCTGTAACCCCAGCACTGTGGGGCAGAGTCGGAGGATGCTGGGAGCTCCCTGGCCAGCCAGCCTCGCCAAAACAGCGAGCTTCAGGCCCAGTGAGCGACTCTGTCTGAGGGGATAAGGTGGCACAGCAGAATGTCCTCCGACCTCCACACAACCTCACAGCATCTCACACACATGCTTATACACACACTTAAAAATTATAATAACAGCATCTCAGCCACTAGATGAAGTAGTTTTTGTAGAATCCTCAGAGTAAGTTTGTGAGAAGCACTGTTTTCCGTGAGAAAATGAAAATATGGACATGAAATTTATCTAGAATCAGAGGGTGCTAGATAAATTTCTATTTACTATTAACTACCTTGTTTTACTTTTAATTTATTTTTATTTTATGTGTATGAGTCTTTTTCATGCATATATGTAACTATACCACATGTGTGCAATGCCCACGGAGGTCAGAAGAGTTAGCCACCATGAGGGTGCTGGGAACCGAACCTGGGTCCTCTGCAGGAGCAGCCAGTGCTTTTAACCGCTGAGCCATCCCTATTTTAAATGGATAAATGTAGAACTTCATCCTCACCTAAAAATGCCCAAGGTCCCATTTAGAGAGAATCAAGGTCCAAGCACAAATGCATGCTTTCGGGTATAGAAACTAGTGTCCTTTCCAGCAGTAAAGCTGTGAGCAGTTTTAGATATGCTTGTGAGCATTAAATGCATATGATGAGTATAAATTCATATACTTTGGGGTAAAAAACACATGGTGGCCAAGGAATGGTTATGGTCAGTAAGTTTAAGAAGAAGGTGGACAGTCCCTGGGCTGAGTGTGCCAGTCCTTTCCTGGGTCCCCACTCCAGACCTGATATGGACTGTTCTGCCCTAGACTTCTAGTTTTCTTTTTTCACATTTCTCATTGCCGTCATCAGTTTCTAGCACCAAATTGTTGCATTTAACTATACCGTCCTAAACGGTAGCCAAAACTAATCCTGTATTTTTATTCCATGTTTCCAGCTTTCTACTGTTACAAATGTTTCTGTGTCAGATCCTTTCTCAAATGTTTTAAGGGGAAATCCAGTTCCACAAAGAAAAAGGACTGTTGCCCTACTTCTGTTTGATTCATAGTGTCACATCTCATTTTTACATTAAAAATATGCCCCAAAAAATCGTGTTCAGCAACTATATGTTCAGTCTGGTCCAGTGGAAAGAGTTCCCATGATTCCTGGAAGGAGACCTCAGAGCCACATACAGCTAGCTCTCTTCTTGACAGTGTGGCTACTTTGATCTCCATCCAGACTAGTCTAGAGAAACTGAGAAAGGTCACTTCACTCCCATATAGCTGAAGTCTCTTCTGAGGCATTGTGGGTACTTTAATCTCCATCCAGACTCTTCTAGAGAAACAGAAAGTTTACCTCACTCACAAACGGCCCAAAAGACTTAAGCCTTTATGTCAGAAAATCATTTTTTATTTACACAGCCCATAAATGACGATTTAATATGATGGTCCAAAATTTGTTTTTATAGTATCTCTATCCTCAGTGATACCACTTTGGTTTGTTGGTTGATTGGTTTCTTTTTTGTTTTTCTTGGGAATGGTTTAAGGAGTTACTTTTGTTTTGTTTTTGTTTTTATTAGGTCTGAGGTTTTCTGAGATGAGGTCTCACATGTCACTAGCCCAGGGTGGGTTAGAAGTTAGAATCTCTTGCCTTGGCCTCCCAGTGCTGAGATGGCAGGCATGTGCCACCACACCCAGCAGTACCACATTTTTTTAATTCCATATTTTGGATATTAGCTCTTGTCCTAGCTATTTTCCTGTGCTATGACAAAAATACCTTCTCAAAAGCAACTTAAGGAACAAAGGGTTTATTCTGTCTCAGAGCTCAAGGTACAGTCCATCATAGTGGGGAAGTCAAGTAGGTAGGAGCTTGAAGCTGGTCCCATCTATCCACAGTCAGGAAGCAAAGAGAGATGAAGCTGCTGCTCAGCTCCCTTTACCCACCGTGCAGTCCACGAGAGAGCGCTGTCTCCCACAGTGGGCAGGTCTTCCCACCTCCTTTCATTCAATCAAGGTAATCCCCACAGGCACGCCCAAGTTGTCTCCCAGGTGACTCTAGATTTTTTTCAAGTTGACCCTTAACACTGACCATCTTTTTAAAACAGTGAAAACAAACGTCCTAAGCTAGCATACCATGATGGTTGGTCGGTGAACAGGGAGACACATGTAAGGGACAGTGTGCCTGGCTCTGGTGACTGCAGACCCTCCAGTGACAGAGCACAACAGATTCCTCCGATTTTCATTTTGACCAAATTTTACTCCAGTTTAGAATCTGAGAAAACACATCTACAAACTGACCTACTAGTGTGTTTATTCATCGGTTTAAACATGGAATTTTAAACAGATATTCACAAAAGCAAGTATGTATTGAGTTGCTTGCATTTATAGAAGACACAAATTTTTGTCTTTGGGTGATTCTATTTTAGAATTTTAGAAATCTAGCCTCTCCAAACAGGGAAGCAAAATTCTCTGCTTTCTACAGAGCACAGTCCAGGAAAGAATCTAGTTTTAGAACATCAAACCTTGCTGAAAATAAAATCTCATGGAAGCCATGTTGTTCCGTTTATCTCCTTTCACTTAGCAGCACTTTGTTGAGGAAGCCTTCTGTAGGAGAGGACGGAGGAGTGATAAACCCCAAGCCCCAAATGCCAGTCATTTTAGACACCCTGGGGGCTGGCCTCAGCTTCGATGTCCTGTTAAAACAGAGCAGTTTGGTCTAATCTTGGTTTAAGACAAGGAGAAGTAGGGGTTTTCCACTTGTATTCTTTAGAATAGGTCCTATTTAGGTAGACTTACAAGATGCTTCTCATCATAAAGTGGAAAAAAGGGGCGGGGTGGGGGCTAAATAAGCTTTCTTAAGTAGTTGCCTGTGAGCTTTCCTTTCTAGTGCTAAAATTTAGTCTTGCAAGTGTCATTTTCAGCATTTACGCATTGAAGTGCCGTCCTGGGCTTCGGGATTTGATGTTGCATTCTAAAATGAGGCGGGACGTAGGAGAGCTTAGAGTCTGAAGCAGATACGAAGACACTTTGATTCCGTGTTCGCTTTTTACATTGTCCTTTTTATTACTTTCCTCTCAGGCTGAAAACCTCCTCCTTGATGCTGACATGAATATTAAAATTGCTGACTTTGGTTTTAGTAATGAATTCACAGTTGGGAACAAATTGGACACATTTTGTGGAAGCCCACCTTACGCTGCCCCAGAGCTCTTCCAAGGAAAGAAATATGATGGGCCGGAAGTGGATGTGTGGAGTCTCGGCGTCATCCTCTACACGCTGGTCAGTGGCTCCCTGCCTTTCGATGGCCAGAATCTAAAGGTATTGCCCACATTTGGTGATGATGATTTTACCCCTGGTGCCATAATCGCAGACGTTCATCCTAAGTGCACACTTGATTTCTCAAAGGAACTGCGGGAGCGAGTGCTACGGGGGAAGTACCGCATTCCCTTCTACATGTCCACAGACTGTGAGAACCTTCTGAAGAAGTTGTTAGTGCTGAATCCCATAAAGAGGGGCAGCCTGGAGGTAAGCGAGCTCTCAGACACTCCACAGAGTCAGCAGTCAGACCGTCTAGAAGCTGGAGAAGGCCAGCTCCCCTGTGTTTTCCTGGAAAAATTGCGGTATCAACCATCTTGCCTCTCCTTTAGTGGCGGGAAAGTGAGGTATCTTTATTCAAAATCTGTCACAGTAGATTTCTCTGGATTTATTTCTTCTTGTTTCTTTAATTATTAAAAATGATACCAAAATAGAGATAAAGTTGACTTTTAATTGAAAAAAGAGGAAAAACATAGCTTGTGTCAGAAACTACTTGGCCCCTAACAAAACCTTTGATGTTAGTAGAGACTCACCAGATTGTTCAAGGTTGAAAAGTAATCCAGTAAATTCTTCACTGTATCTGAAACAGTCTGATATCATGAGTACAGAAACCTTTCAAATATGTAAAAAGAACATATTGTGACAGGTGTTTTCATTGACCCACCACTGTGTTGCCTGTGTATGTTCTCTGTGTGCAATTGTGCATGTGCTAAGTGTGTTACAGAACCTGCCAAGGTTTGTGTAACTGAGATGTGCAGTCGTTTCTCCTCCTTACGCTGTAACTAAGATAACTTACAGTTCTTAAGCTTTTTGCCAATCTGTTTTTAGGAATGGAACTTTTAAGTTTACTAAGATAATTTCAGTGAGTCACAATGCATCACATGAACTTTTAAAACCTTGTATTTACTTGAATTAGAAGGGCAGAAATTTCAGAGAATTAGCCTCCTGTGTACTTTGTAGTATAGCAGTGGAACTTACTGGTCTGGCAGCCACACATTAGGAGGAAGCCCCCAGGGAGCCGCCCTGTGTACTGAGTGCTCGAGTGCCTGTGTTAGTTATAAACTCAGCTACCTAGGAGGCTGAACATCGCCTGTTCACGACCAGCCTCCGCCACTTAATGAGAGCCTGTAGCTCAGTGGGAGAGCCCTTGCCCAGCACATGCAGAGTCCTAGTTCAGTCCCCAACAACATAAAGTACCACAGATTAAAGTATTACAGTTCTAGTTTGTTGAGTTAAATTCAAAAGCCAAATTATTAATAAATAATTTTTTTAAAAAGGGGGCACTGGGGAGATGGCTCAGCAGTTAAGAGCACTGGCTGCCCTTGCAGAGGACCCAGGTTTGGTTCCCGGCACCCACATGGCCACTAACAACCATCTGTAACTCCGGTTCCAGGGGATCTGATGCCTTTTTCTGACCTCCATGGGCATTGCATGTCATGAGTGCTCTTACATGCATGCAGGTAATACACTTACACACATAAAATAAAAATATATATATATAACTTAAAAAAAGAAAAGCCAAATTATTATTACTCAAACATTCGATCTTACACCAGTGAAGCTCAATATCTTACATAATTTAATATACAGTAATAATAAATGATCAGACTTGTTATAAATGCTCAGTCTTCAGACGCTCCAGTTCTAAGTGTTTCAACCACAGAGCCATGAGTTCATGCTGGGAATATCTCACAGTACAGAATTGACTCAGCAGAGGCTGCTCACAACTCCCTGAATGACACTCCAGAAAAACTGGACACCATTTTTTAAAGGAAGAATTTTTTTTTAATTTTTACAAAAACTTTATTGAGAATTTCATACATGTATACAAGGTGTTTTGATCAAATCCATGCCCACTCCCTCTCCTCCAACATTCCCCCCTCTGAAGAGGTGACCCTAAAATCTTTTAAGGATTAGATACAAGCTCCCAAATACTTTTGACATTTTTGGCCTAGGAACAGAGTATGTTGCTAACAGGCCAAGGACATTTTGACTTTTAGCCCAGAAACTGGCTGCATTTCTTTGGGGTCTTTTTACCCTAACTGCCTAGCCAATTCCTACCTTCTATTCTTATCGCACCATCCTCTGAAGGGGTTGCCCAAATTGCTGATGGGGAATAGGGGCACAGACCACTCTGGCTTCTTCCATGCTAAACAGGGACACAGGGTGAGGCAATTGGGGTACCCCTTCAGTGGGTCTATTTAAAAGCTTCCCAAATTGCATAACTCTTGTCTCCAAGGGGTAAAAAAAAAGTCCTTGAATCCTGAATAGGAGATGTGAAGGAGAAGTAAAGGCAAGAGTATTAATTAGCATTACAAGTTCTAGACAGGGAACTAGAAAAAAGTCAGAACAGGGCACTTTTCAAATGTTCATATAAGAGTCCATTGGAGTTTCTTCTTGACGAGGGCTTCCAAAAGCATCCCTCTATTGGGTTCTTAAAGGAAGAATTTCTTAAAACGAGCCTTAATTAACTCCCTTTGTGGCAGGGGCTATGGGAGGGGCCAGTGGGGAAGGAGGTACAAAGATGATTAAGATGTTCTGTATGAAAATACAAAAAAATTCAATAAAAACTTTATAAAAACAACCAAAGATAAATAAGTAAAACTAATAAATTTTTTTTAAAAAAAGAATTAACTCCCCTTGAAATATCAGTGATTTCAACAATTGAATGGTCTTCGTTTTTATTTTATACTGGCTTTATCATCAGCTTGACAATGGGAAGAAAATCTGTAAACTGTTTGAAACAGCTGTTTTCAAAACATTCCTCTCAGATGTGTCTCTATATACTCTGGTACCAACTCCTTATCTGGTGTATGCTTTGCAAATATTGGACCTTGCCCCCCCCCCCCCCCCCCCCCCCCCGCCCCCGCTTGTTTGTCTTTAACAGCCCAGGGCCACCTGCTGTTCTATACCCTCAGGTTGTCATTCACACCAATACCTGTTTCACCCAGACTTTTACCTAATTTCTGATTCTGAACTTAATTTCAACTACTGCCCCTCGTCTTGTTCTCTGAGTTACCAATATTGACTAGCCTAGATTTCCAGCCCCCAAGATCTCTTCTTTCCTAATATTTTATTAAGTTGTGATTTTAAAATACAGACATGAAGTGAGCATGGTAGCACATGCCTTTAATCCCAGCACTCGGGAGGCAGAGGCAGGAGGATCTGTATGAGGAGGCCAGCCTGGTCTACATAGTGAGTTCCAGGCCAGATGGGGCTACAGGGAGACCCTATCACAAAAAAAGCAAACAAACAAACAAACAAAAACAAATTTAAAATACAGGCATGTACTTGGTAAAAGATCAGAAAGAAATGAATCTTTGTATAAATCTTAAATATAAAAATAAAAATATGAAGCAAAAGTTAAAGACAGTAGGCACTCCTGCTAGGGAAGAGTGGTTATTCTGAGCCCTTAGCATTGGTGACTGTGCAATAATCGTCACAGTTTTTATGAGATAGTGTGTCCTAGAGTCCCACACCTCCTGGTGGACTGTTACTCAAGGTAGACACAGAAACTTTATTTGAAAGTAGCACATGATTCTTGGCATGATTCTTATTGAGTGAACCAATACATTTCCCATTTCCTAAGGTGGTTGAATATTGTGATTTGCCAAACATAACATAGAATTTATTTCCTAGCAAATAATGAAAGACCGGTGGATGAATGTTGGTCATGAAGAAGAAGAACTAAAGCCTTATTCTGAGCCTGAACTCGATTTTAATGATACCAAAAGGATAGGTAAGTATTTAAACACTGTAAGAGGTGCCACGTGGGCTGCAAGTAAGAGTTCTTTAGCCTGCCAGAATAGTGTTTAAATATATACATATGGGTGGGGGCTGGAGAGATGACTCAGCAGGTAAGAACATTGACTGTTCTTGGAGAAGATCAGTTTCAATTCCCAGCACCAACATGGCGGCTGACAACTGTCTGTAACTCCAGTTCCAGGGATCCAGTTCCCTCTTCTGTCCTCTGCGGCCACTGCATGACACAGGTGCAGTTGCATGCAGGCATAACACTCATACACATAAAATAAAAATAAGGTTTTTTAAAAAATATATACCTATGGACCAATTTATATTTAAAAATGCTCTGTCGTGTTAATGATAACATTAGACATTAAAATATTCAAGTTTCATAGTTTTTTCTTATGTATATTATGGTCCAGTTCAGTTTTTGACAATTGTAGCATAAAAATAACATAGATAGGGGCCAGACAGATGGCTCAGTGCATTGACTGTTCTTGCAGAGGACCCAGGTTTGATTCTCAGCACCCACATGTGGCTAACAGCCATAGCCATAATTCCAGTTCCTCCTGCCCTCTTCTGACTTCTGTGGTCTTTGCACAACACAGGAGCACTTATTAACATGCAGGCAATACACTCATACGCATAGAACTAATAAATAAAATAATAAAATAATGTAGATAAACATATCAGCAAACATACATGTTTTTTCCCAGATGTTCAGGAGCACTGGATTAAAGGGTTGGACACTGTGTCCCTCCCTTTGTGCTGTCTACTTTATCATGTCCACCCTCAGCCGGTACTCTGCTGCCCACTTGTTCACTTTGCTTCTTTGCCCCTACCCAAAGCCATCAGAAGCCCACCAGTCATCTCAACTGGGCTCCTTTCCAGCTGGTGGGAAGTGTGTCAGGGGAGCACTAAGAGCTGGATAGCAACAGCTGTGGGAGACGGCTTCCTTAGAAGAACTGTACTGCAGAGGAGACGGGAAGTGGAGGTTCTTGAGTTGAGAGGCCTCTCCATGAGTAGCTGAGGATGTGCCGAGAGACAGCACAGAGAGAGAGAAAGGAAGGGCTTTGTGAGGGGGAGTCAGAGACCAGTAGTCCCTGACTTGACAGAGGAGGTTAGCTCAGAAGTGAATGTATCAAGCCCTTAACACAAGAATTCTGCATGAAAAATTATAAATGTAGAGTATCTATAACCATATACTATCTGCAGGCTAATAACCAGAAGTTCTTTAGTTTGAAATACATTTTAATTGTTTAAGAATTAGTTTCCCTAGCAGTATTGGCAAACAATACATTTTTGATGATCATTTACTAAAATAGATGCATTTTTCAGAAATTTTTCTGTTTTTCTAGACATCATGGTCACCATGGGTTTTGCACGAGATGAAATCAATGATGCCTTAGTAAGCCAGAAATATGATGAAGTTATGGCTACTTACATTCTTCTAGGCCGAAAGCCACCTGAAGTAAGTTTTTCAACCTTTTTAGATGAAAGCGAATTAATTCTCCATTTAAATGGATAAAGGTATGTTAGCAAATGCATTTTCATCTTTGAGGTATCAACAGTACAGGCCAGGTGTGGTAGCACATGCCTTTAATCCCAGCATTCGGGAGGCAGAGGCAGGAGGATCTCAGTGAGTTTGAGGCCAGCCTGGTTCACACAGTGAATTCTAGGCCAGCCAGGGCTGCATAATGAGACCCTGTCTCAAAAATAAAATCAAATAAAAGTAAAGATCCTAATAGTCTTACTTATTAGAATTCAGTAATCAAAGTGCTAATTTATATGCTAATTTCATTTATGGGTATGAGAGATGTTAGGGAAGAACAGGCCCTGCCCTGCTTGATTCCCAGCAGCTCCACCCACAGGCTTGACTTTTGGGAATGATGTCTCCTGACTTGTGCAGTGCACGCCTTTATAGCCAGGTATAGTGGTCCTGCCAAAGGCAGCATGGTTGTTCTGAGTCACCCAGAACAGGAAGCATGTAAGGCAGTAGGTACATTGGAAATGACTCAGGTAAATGAACCTGGAAAAGGCTATTCATGGTGCTCATGCCTGTGAGTGCCCAGCAGCTTCCATGCACTCAGCCGGGACCTGTCATGGCCAGGAGAGATCCATGGTAAGGATCCATGGCAGGTATGGTGAGCCTACAAGTAACTGATCCTTTGAGAAAGCAGTTTAGGAAGGATACGCTAAAATCAGAACAGAGGCCAGAGCCTTGACAGTAGGTTGAAAATTAGACATCTATAGGGGCATTTTGTAGAAAAGGCTATAGTTATTTACTACTGAATATTAAGTATTGAGCACAGTCATACATTCCAGATAACACTTATTGAACCTGCATTGTATCAGAATTATGATACATCCATGAATGGAAAAACCAAAAAGTCTGTCCTGTCCCGGAGCCCTCACTGTAGAGCTAAGGAGCCAGTGGCATGGGATGTTGTGGTGTGGGCTGCAGATACTATGGGAGCTTATGGGAAAGCAGGTATCTGTGTACCTGTGGCGATGTTGTGGTGTGGGCTGCAGATACTATGGGAGCTTATGGGAAAGCAGGTACTTGTGGCAGGCTAGGGTGAGATCCACCAAGGTGGTCTGTGACATGCAACACATAAAGTTAGTGGTATTGGTGACCAGTGGGAAGATGGGATAAGACCTCTGATTCCCAGCATGAATACCTGGATGTGTAAGATGTGCTCTTGCTATTTATCCCCAGCTGGCCTGGGGCCCTCTATATAGACCAGGCTAGCCTTGAACTCACAGAGGTCTTTCTGCCCCTTCTTCTGAGTGCTTGGATTAAAGGCATCCTCCATGCCCAGCTGAACTGAAGATTCTTGTTGGGTGGTACTTCTAGTAGATGTGGATGTGAAAATCTGGATTTGGGGGAAAGGATTTGAATGAGGTTAAGATTTGAGAGTGCCTGTATTAAAATCCACCCACCCAGGGCTCAGGGATCATTGCAGAAGAGGGAGTGAAAAGATTTTAAGAGCCAAGGAGGAAGTGCATGACCATATGGAAATAGAGTCCTCTAGGATCCTGGGGACCCTTCTCATGAATCTACAGCAATGGTGTCATCATACACAAGACCCATGCAAACTCAAGCAGACAAAAACCCAGCACAGAAATGTGGAAATGGGCAGCAGACCCCAATCTTAAAGAATTATTGGCAGCTAATTACTCCTGAGTGAGGAAGAGCTGATCTTCTAAAAGGAAAGGGCTCTAGATAGGCTGACTAGACCTCAGTGGATGAACTTGCACTGAGGGACATCTGGGGACACTAAGTTGACATGATGGGCCTTAACAAAAAGAGAGAAAGTATGAATTCCAGTGGGGAGTGGGGGGCTAAAGGAGGGGACTCAATGGGGAAGGAGGGATAAACATTAAGATGTTCTATATGAAATACACAAAAATTCAATAAGTTTTTTTTTTAAGATTTGCTATCACAGGAACACCTGCTGCACATTGTGACATGTCAGGAACTGCTGTAAAGACTCCATCAGTGTTAGTTCTAACTGATCCTCCTTGGATATCCAGTGACCTCTGGGCACTTTCACTTACTAATTTAAATGCAGAGGAAGCAATGCTTTCATTTGCAAGCATACAGCCAAGCCCAGGTGCATGTTGGGATCAGGTGCGAACTATATTGTACATAAACTGCATCGGCTAAGTGGAGTCAGGCTCTCTGCCCTCCACCACCCAGCAGAGCTGCCAACTATACCTCATTTCTGGACCTCTGTTTCCTCATCTATAAAATGTGGATAATAATGCTTACCTCCTAGGGTCATTGAATGGTTGAGTAAGTTACTACTTGTAGCTCTCAGAATAGCTGCTGACGGATTTCTCTGCTCTTAATTCTGCTGCTGTAATTACAGCAGCGGTACTTGTCGCTGATGTGCTTGTTACCTATTGCCAAAGATCGAGCCAACAGTCTCCAGCAGCACAGCCTTTAGCATGGTCAGTGCTAAGGAAATACAGTGTCCTGGTCAAAGCCAGCAAACCAAATGTTTTGATTAATGTGGAAGAAACACACAAAACGCTTTTTCTGAACTTAGGTCAGGGTTTAAATATGGTTATTTTTAGTAGTTTATGTACATGCGTGTATACATACGTGTGTGTTTAAATTTTTAAATTTTATCCTGAATTTGAATCCCAGTGACATCCTTGACCTCAGTTTTTCCATCTAGAAAATGGGGATTAATACATCACAGGCTTGTGGCAGTGATTAAGCCAAATAGCACCTAGGACTGTGTGGACTGTGCTCACTGTGGTACTGTGTGGCTGTTACTTGATGTTTTGACTAAACCAAGGATTTGTGCTTAATAACAGATCATAAGTGCTCATGGGAGCAACCTCATCCCAGTTCCCGCCCTTCCATCTTTCCTCCTTGAAGCCTGGCCTTTAGTTCTGAGTGCTCCATGTATATCTTTGAATCATCTTGTTTGCACACTTTTGTGTTTTAAGATCCTGGTGCTGTCTTCTCAGTTTGAAGGTGGTGAGTCTCTGTCCAGTGGAAACTTGTGCCAGCGGTCCCGGCCCAGCAGTGACCTAAACAACAGCACTCTGCAGTCCCCTGCGCATCTGAAGGCCCAGCGGAGCATCTCTGTCAACCAGAAGCAGCGGCGCTTCAGCGATCATGGTGGGGAGCAAGTCTAACACATGAGGACAGGCTGGTTCCACCCCAGGCTGTGTGGTGCATGACACACTCACACCTCCCTGTGCTCCTGACATATCTCAGCCTTACATCACTGGATGATGAATAGGATCTCTTTTGCAGGAACATAACCTAGTCTTTATAATTGATTTAACCTTACTTTAGAACATAAAGCATGCAAATATAGGTATTTTAACGTAGAGGGTTTTGTGTGAGAATATGTCAGCTGTTTTTTCAATAACCATGCTATTTTTAAAATTACAGTTGGTCCCTCCATCCCCCCTGCTGTATCATACACCAAAAGGCCTCAGGCTAACAGCGTGGAAAGCGAACAGAAGGAGGAATGGGACAAAGATGCCACCCGCAGAACTGGTAGCACCACCGCAGGGTCACAGCGTGAGATGACAGCCAGCCCTCTGGTGGGTCCAGAAAGGAAGAAGTCTTCAACGGCTCCAAGTGTGAGTCAGAGTTCTCTTCCACAGCTTGTTGGACCCATTACAGTTTTTGTAAAGTCTTTGTCTTTTCTTTTTAAATGTTTCTATGTGGATTGTAACATGAAGAACTTGAAAAAGGGACCAAGCTTCTCAGGAACATACTGAAGAAAATAAGGCGAACAGCTCTGTTTGTTGTTTTCATGGCGTTGTTGTCGTTGTTTTGAGATAGGGTCTCACTCTGTGGTCCAGCCTGGCTCAGAACTCACAGCAACAGCAGTCCTCCACCTCAGCATCTGAAGTGTGGGGATTATAGACATAGCCAGGCCCAGCTACCATTCTTAGAACAGTGCATGGCCTCACTTCCGAGTGGTTCATTAGCCCCCTGCTTTGCTTTCCCTGCTCGTAATATTTGTTTAATGTTATACTGGTACATTTAATCTTATGTTTACAAGTAAACTGTTCGTTGAGGACAGACTTGGTTAATAACTTTTCAAGGTGCCTCCCATTAGGTCCCTTAAAATGGCACACTCTAGAAATTATGTCCGGAGCTACAGTAGAAACTACAGTGCTATCCTGTAAGATGGCAGGAAAGAGGAAACAAAGACACTGAAGGATAGAATAAGGTGGGTAATTCGACAGCTGGGGTTTGGAGTGAAATGAGGGGAGTAGGTGTCTAAAGGAATGATAACACAGAGAGAGAGAAGACCCAGACTAGCAAAGAGAAGCCGGAGAGAAAGTGTGCTCCTGGGTTCAGTAGAGTGGGAAGTGTAAACACCAAAACAAAAGATGTTTTTAACAATTTCAGTGGGAGAGCAGGGGAGCTCAGAAGGAGCACGCTTAGGTTGGTAAAGTCTCGCCAGCAGTGTGTGTGCCAGAAAACGGATAGATGGCAGCAGTAGTCGAAACTGTTGGAGGGGAAAGAAGCCTAGAATTTTATATCTAGCCAAATTGCCATTTAAATACAAAATATGATAAACCATATTCTTGGGCATAAAGTCTGTCAGCTATTTGGCAGCACAGTGACTACTTAAAAACACTGTATCATTTAAGAAAGCATTCTTAGAGGGACAGATGAGCCCAGAGCATTGCTATGACATGTATGGAAGTAGAAAGGAATCAGCTTAGTAAGGGCCAGTGAGTTAGCTCATTGGGTAAGGGCACTTGCCACCAAGCCTGACAACCTGAGTTCAGTCCCCAGCACTCACATTGTAGAAGAGACCTGGCTCCCACAGCTTGATGTCTGACCGCCACACATACACCCATACACATATACACAGGTGTGCACACACTACATGCATACATGCCACACACATACAAGCAAATAAATAAATTCAATAAAAACCTTTAAGAAATTCACTTCTTAAAATATACATGTAGAAGCCAGGCGTGCTGGTACACACCTTTAATCCCAGCACTTGGGAGGCAGAGGCAGGTGGATCTTTGTGAATTTGAGGCCAACCTCGTCTACATAGTGAGTTCTAGGGCAGTTGGGGCTACAGAGAGACCTCGTCTCAAAAAGACCCCCCCTCCAACAAAAAATGCATGTAGTGGTGCTAGAGAGGTGGTTCAACAGAGGACCTGAGTTCAGGTCCAGACTCACAGTAGGCAGCTCACAGCTGCCTGTAACTCCAGCTTCGGGGGATTCAAGACCATCTTTTGGCCTGCACAGGCATTTGTCCTCATGTGCACATAGGCACGCACACATATACATAATTAAAAATAAAAATCTTTTTTTAAAGTGTGCATGTAGCAACATACATACAAAGTATTGGACAGTCACAGCCAAAATTCTGGATGGTGTCCAGGGACTAGGAATAGGGGTAGAGATTAGAATACACATGTCTTGTTCAGCAGATGATTGGAGTAAAATTTAAAAACCAATAGTGATAAGCACACGTGAATCCAGGAACCTAAGGCAGGTGAATAGTATGAAAATAAAACTAGATTATGGCTTTTAAGTCAGTGGGGGGAGGAGAGAACCCATGAACTCATGGATGAAGAAAAGGGGAAGGTACTTTAATCAGAAAACTGGAAGTGACATACCAGAACCCAACACACCTGGGTCACAAGTGGGTCAGAGTCTCTGGTGCCACCGTTCTGTTTGGGTCACTGAAATCACGCCTTTTTGAATATGTGACCAGATTATTACCTCCTGCTCTCAGAGGTACATGTGCACACCTCTTCAGGTATGGGGGGTCGCTGCTTACTCCCCACCTGATCTCCTTGGAAAGGATTGTTTAAAAGGTTCAGTTTTTAAAGTACTTATTCTAGGCCTCATTTCCTTGTCAGTTGGAGAACAGTTTCAGAGGTCAGTGCCCCACACAGCGGAAAGAAACAGACTGGTCTGGTGCTTCTTACCACTCCACATTACCTGTCACTCCACTCAGCGAGGACTTCCTCTGCATAGCCACACTCAGCCTTGCACTGTCCTTATACACTGCTCAGACCTAATCCCATTGCCACAGATTGTGCAAGTGCTGCCTCCTGACCAGAACCTCCTGGGCCTGGCAGTGCCCATCTCACAAGCCTTTCCCGTTGCTGTGACCCACTCAGTTCTTGGCCTGATGCTGCCTTGCTGGGTTACTGTCTCCCTGTACGGTCCGCTGTGTACTGGCCCAGGAGCTTCCTCGGGATCAGTGGGGATGAGGTGAACAGTGAGTGTTCAGACTATATGTATTTGCTTAAAGAAGGCGAAAATTTAAGACATTAAATTCAAAGTAATTATGCCATATTAGTTAACATTATTTTTAAAAACTACAAGCCAAAAATTCTGCCAAAATGTCCAGCCTTCCCTCTCCTGTCCATTACTTGCCAATCTGAACCTGTAATTAGTGCTAATGATTTGGGCAGACTCTGTAGGTTCTTCTTTGCTAGAAAAAACATAAATGAACATACAGGTCAATACTGTGTCTGTTACAGTTTAGGCTTTGTCACTTAAGGTGGTATAGGGTTACCTAGGACTGGAACATGCAGATCTGTGTAATAGCAAAATGTCTTCACTCAGGATCGACAGGCAAATGCATCATAAGTGTGATGTGCACCCTGTAGATGTGATAAGCATCCTGTCGGTAGGTGTGATGTGCATCCTGTCGGTAGGTGTGATGTGCATCCTGTAGGTGTGATGTGCATCCTGTAGGTGTGATGCGCTCCCTGTACCTGTGACGTGCGCACTGTAGAATTCTGTTACTTCTTCTCTAAGATTTTGTTGTGTGTGTGAGTGTGTTTCTATGTATGCCACATATGTGTGGGTACCCTCAGAGACCAGAGAATGGTGTTGAATTCTCAGGAACTGGAGTCACAAGCCATTGTGAGCTACCTGGTGTGAGTGCTGGGAATTGAGCCTGGGCCCTCCAGGAGAGCAGAAGAGCTCTGAACAGCTGAGCTATCTCTCCAGCCCTCCTCCTTTAAATGTTTTTTCAATAGTTGGCTCTGGGCCCATCTAGCTGTGCTTTTTTCAGTCTTGGCTACACAAACAGGCATGGTGACCCTCGGTCGGTGTCACTCACTGTCGTCGTCGGGGCAGGTCTATCCTCACTGTCACACAGCGCACCTGAGCACCACCCTGATGTGTTCTAATGTACATCACTGGCAGGCTATGTCCTTGTAAGACATTTAAGTTTTTGATAAATGCTACCAGAGTAATTTTCCAAATGGTGAGATAATCTGAAGTACTTATTTTCCCACAAGTTCATCAACAACTACATGCATCCATCTTTACATTTTTCCCAGTCTGAAAAAAAAAAAAAAAAAAAAAAAAAAAAAAAAAAAAAAAAAAAAAAAAGTATGCTTTTATTTCTGGTTCGAGATCCCGACTACTGTTGGTAGTATCTGCCGAGTTCCCCAAAGCCCAGAATGCTTGCTGTCTGTCTTACAGAAAAAGTTGGCTAACGCCTACATTAAAGCCAAAATGCCAGCTTTTTTTTCTCTTTTCTTCTGGGATGTAGTCTTACGCTGTAGCCCAGGCTGTCCTCCAACTCAGGATCCCCTGCCTCTACCTCTTAAGTGCTAGGATGACAAACCCATGCCACCATGCCCAGCTTATCCCTTTTCATTGAGATGATTTCTTGGGTAGAAAGAACTAGAGTGTGAATGAATGTCTTTTACTAGCAACTCTTATTTGTCAGTAAATGGAGTATTGTGAAAAACATCTATGCCCTCAGAGGACACGGCCTGGCTCCTTACTTCCTAACATTCCTCAGCAGTTCAGTGATAGTTTAATTGAACATTTCATGTTAATCAAATTAAAGCTTATTTTAGTAATAAAAGCTCTTGTTGGGACTAGAGAGATGGTTCAGAAGTTAAGAGCACTGGCTGCTCTTGTAGAAGACCTGGATTCAGTTCCCAGCACCAACATGGTAGCTACCAGCCGTCCATAACTCCAGTTCCAGAGGATCTGATGCCTTCTTCTGACCTCCTCGGGCATTGCATGGCACAGATGCACCTACCTACATGCAGGCAATATACTGATACACATAAAATAAAAACAACAATAAAATATTTAAAGGAAATAAAAGCTCTTGCATACGAATGTGACTCTTGTTTGACACAAGTCTAATATGATGTTTTAAGAGCAATATTGAGGGGGCTAGAGATTTGGTTCAGTGGTTAAGAGCACTGGCTGCTTTTGAAGAAGACACAGGTTCAGTTCCCAGCACCCACGTGGCCATTAATAATCATCCTGAACTCTCGTTCCACAGGATCTAGTGCTCTCATCTGGCCTCCTTGAGCATTGCAGGCATATGTTATACCTGCATATGTGCAGGCAAATCACTGATACACATAAAATCTTTTTTAATTTTATTTATTTTATTTTATGTGTATGCGTGTATTGCCTGCATGTAGGTAAGTGTGCCTGTGTCATGCAATGCCCGCAGAGGTCGGAAGAGGCTGTCGGGTCTCCTGGGACTGGAGTTATGGACAGTTGTTAAGCTGCCATGTGGGTTGCTGGGATTCAAACCTGGGTCTTGTGCAAGAACAACCAGTGTTCGTAACCGCTGAGCCATCTCTCCAGCCCCCACATAAAT